TTACCTATTTTTCAGTTTTTAGTACCTAAATATCCCGTCTCTAGTAATAATATCTAAGTTTAATCCTTTTTTAGACTAAGCATTTTATTTTGTGTATAATGCACATCCATATCTTCATCTGCAGGGACTACACAGCAAACGGAAAATTATAGAGGTGTACTCTCTAAAAATGAAATAGTCAAAATTCTACTATTTGAATTAGTAAAAGCATTTTTTACTAATAAAATAGTCGTTTTCACTTTTAAATAGTTATTTTTTACTATGTAAATAGTTAAAGTTTGACTAATTTAAGATTAGTCACCATATTTGACTATTTCTGACAGTTAAAAGTAACTAATTTCTTTAGTCGTTTACGGCCAAGAACAAAGTATTATTTGAATTAAATGCATATACCTCTCCATGGTTAAATGACCCATAAAACAAATAAAGATGCAAAAAGTTTAGCTTAAAATAGCAAGACAAATAATATATTAAACTTTAAAATATTATGAACCATATTTATTGACAAATAAAATTAATTTTTATAAGAGCGGCTGACAGCCGAATGCGTTAAGACGTTAGCTGGACAAACATGTCAAGTTACAGACCCGAGTTCAATCCCAGGCTGGGTCAAAACTTTTTTTAAATTTAAATTTACTAATTTGACTATTTCATTCAGTGGAATTTGACTAATTATTAGTGACTGCTTTTTCACTATGACAATTAGTCAAATATGACTTATAATTAGTTATTTTTGACTAATTCATTTTAAGAGAGTATAGGATGACGCCACGTTTGAATATCGTTTTCTAAATCTCCCTACGGTATAGAGTTGTATTCTTCAGTCGAGCGTTTCAATACTCTCCACAGTATAGAGGTCGTAATTTCACTTTTGAAGTATTAATATAAAAATTATTTTATGCTTATAAAAAACTATATACGACATGATTGTGATTTTTTTCATTTTATTAATTAATTTAGCTGTGTTGAATATTTTTCCTAAAGGAATAATTGCCAATGGGCCATTAATTCATTTGTTCGTAGATGCTACAATAACCTGCACTGGTGTGTACTTTTTCATCAACCAGATTTAAATATTACAAAACTAACATATACCAGTGGAGATAGTGCAGGGTCTACCAACAGACATAATTACTAAATTATTAGCGTTTAACATAATGTCTAGAGTCCCGTCAGACGGGTCTCCGTTAAAACTTTGTGACGTCACACACTGTAAATAGGTATTATTTTTCGAGCGATAGGATTATTACAATAAGCTCGGTAGCTCGATGGAAGGGCGCCTGCTTTGCATGCGACAGGTACGGGGTTCGATACTTCGCGCCTCTACAACTTTTTTTAATTTTTTTTTAAAGAATTTATAAACCGAAATAATACAATGTGGCCTTAAAAGCATTTATATTTAATTTTACATTAATATTTTAATTTATTTACCTTTCCTCATAATCATTTTGCTAGTTATATAATATAAAATGTAATTAAATAAATATTCCTTCGTTGAAAAATTTTTACTCAATGGGGCGGGGGGGGGGGGCAATGGGGCGGTGTCGGTTGGGTTGTTGGGTTTGGGTTGGTTTCGAAGCGGGCGGACTCGGGACGTTTGTCAAGGAAAAAAGATCTGTTTCCCGTCCTAAGATTGCGTCATTTGATGACGTCACTCTGTTAACGGGAGCGCAATAGAGAACCGTCTGACGGGACTCTAGACGCGGCGAAAGTTTAATAGCATATCGATCATTTTTTCAACATAACCTCTGAAATTTTTAATACAAATATAGGTACTTTATATAATACATAAATATACTTAACATCATATCCTCTGTGCTTTACATACCTGAGTTGTTACGGTAAATAAAAATCAGACAAAGGAACCAAAGAAAGGAACTATTTTCAACAAAATCATATGCAGAAATGAGAAAATTCAAACTACCTACTTGCATCCATCAAAAGATCAAAACTTCTTGCAATATTACACCCTCTTTTTATACTGAAATATTGACTAGAACAGTATTAGAGAGACTCCAGTTTCTATAACTTGGTAGAGTAAAGAGAAGTCGAAACCGTTGCGATATTGCATTGCGCTGTTTTTGTATAATTCTCTGGGACATTAACGAAAATCATTGCCAGTAAAATTCGAAAAGCTTGAGTTTCTATGTCTCTGAGGAGAATAGGAATCCGAAGTTGCTGCACCATTGGACTGAACCCTTTTTTAATAATTTCTAGAGACATAAATGACTGCACCATTCGACAGGGTCGAGTTTCTACTCCTCTGTTGAATATAGAAAATCAAAATAATGTATCTTGTAAGACACCATTGAGTTTGACTTTAAATATAGTCGTGCATAGGTATAGAGCCGAAAAATATAAAAACAAAGCACGATTCAATACAGTTATGATAAAACTTTAAGATTTGATATTTAAACGCGGAGTCATCCTATAAGTACACTTCTATAATTTTTCGTTTGCTGTGTAGATAATACGCGGTCAATACTAAGGGGAGAACTTTTAAAAATACAGTTGGTGCGGCATTAATACAAAATAGCCAGTCCCCGATACATACCGTCGGCTGACGACGGTCGGCAATGCCGACTCGGCATAGACGAAAATGTGTTATGGCGCATCATACTTGTGCAACTGTATTTTTTAAAGTTCTTCGCTTAGTATTGTCTGTGTATTATCTGGTCCACTTGACACACTTGTCCAACCGTATTTTTTTAAGTATATAATATATTATACAGTGTGTCCGTAAAGTCCCGGAACATGAGATTATTTTAAAAACAGTAAATTTTTTTTAAAAACGCTGAAACACGTCAACTTTGATATTTTTCTAGCAATATTTTGGCATTTGTAGTTGTTCCAAATTCTGCCGCGTGGCGGTGCCACAATCAAAGTCAGTTTTTTAAATTGCAACCATTTATTTTTTTTGCATTTTTTGATACCTGATTACTTTGATGTGCCACATCTGGAGGGTTACATAAGAAAATTTTTAAGAAAAGCAGGTTTTTGTCGGCGAATGAGATTTTGGTATTTTGTCAAACTTAAACACAATCTATGCGTTGCTTAATGTTTTTTGGAAAGCCAATCAGAGCAGTTGCTCAAAGTGTCCACAGAAAAAACTATTTGGCAGTGGGCCAGCCTGTCTACAAACGAGCGCTGTACGTTTGTCAGTACCGCTGGAGTGATCATCTGGATCTCGGCTTGAATGAGGTGTCTTAGGTCGTCCAAATTTTAAGGCCTGTTTACATAGACGCGGTTTTTAAGATGTCCCCATAAAAAGAAGTTTAAAGGGTTCAAATCGGGCGATCGCGCTGGCCACTCAATTTGATCCCTTCGACCTATCCAGCGATTGGGAAAGACCTGATTTAAATAATACCTTACGGTAAATTTTCACTTTAGCGACTTTTCCGAAAAACGGCAGGAAAGTTGCCAAAATGCCAAAAATAGGTGTGGAGGGATGTAAAAGTGCATAAACAATCGGCGCAGCGTGAAAAAGTTGTATAATTATCGCGTATTTAATAAAAAAAGGGGCTGATAATTGAAGTGACTTACCGTGATTTTCTGTCAAAAAGAACATGCAGCGAGCCAAAAACACGTATCTAATAGACGTAGAATTTGAAAGTGGAAGTGAAAAAGCGTGAATTATGAAAAACAACGTCATGAATTGAGGAAAATGCAATTTTTAAAATCAGGTAATTTGAGGTTCTGAAGATTAGCTGTCATCTTGGGGCGGCGTCGGTTGGGTTGGGTTGTTAAGTTTGGGTTGGTTTCGCTCACCTTTGCCCATTTTAGTGTACACTAAAATGGGCAAAGGTGAGCGAAACTAACCCAAACTTAACAACCCAACCCAACCGACGCCGCCCCATTGAAACCCCCCCCCCGCCCCATTGAGCAATAGAGGTATAATATATCTATGGGCAAGCTGAATTGTGAACCTGCATAACCTCAAATTACCTGATTTTAAAAATTGCATTTTCCGCAATTTATGACGTTGTTTTTCATAATTCAAGCTTTTTCACTTCACTTTCAAATTCTACGTCTACGTCTATTAGATACGTGTTTTTGACTCGCTACATGCTCTTTTTCACAGAAAATCACTGTAAGTCACTTCAATTATCAGCCCCTTTTATTAATTACGTGATAATTATACAACTTTTTTACCCTGCGCCGATTGCTTATGCACTTTACATCCCTCCACACGTATTTTTTGCATTTTGGCAACCCCCAGTCCGTTTTTCGGAAAAGTCGCTAATGTGTAAATTTAATTCCCTTACTAGCAATGCATAGTGTGGTGGTGCCCCGTAACAGCGAATAAGTTCGTCAAAACCAAAATCTCAATCGGCTGCAAAAACCTACTTTTCTCAAAAATTTTCTTATGTAACCCTCCACAAGTAGCATGTCAATGTACTCAGGACAACAGTAGCTATCTAAAAATGCAACAAAAATAAAGGGATGTAATTTTAAAAAACTTACTTCGATTGGGGCGCCGCCACGCGGCAGATTTTGGAACAACTACATAGGCTAAAATATTGCTAGAAAAATAAAAAAGTTGACGTGTTTCAGCGGTTTTTTTTTTAAATTACCGTTTTCAAAATAATCACATGTTCCGGGACTTTACAGACACACTTTATATATATACAGGGTGTCCTGAAAATAGTGTTCTGCAGCCAAGTTGCAAACAAAATTTCACGCAAAAAATTAGGGGCCTTAAATACGTATCTTAGGCCACCACTGTTTAATACACTCATAAATAAAAATTAGAAATATTGTCATTTTTAAATTCAGCATAAAAAGTTTATTTTATCTCAAACTGTTTTGGAAATATTAATAAAAAACCATCTTCAGGGGTCCTTAAGAGGCAGCCTCCTTAGGGGCCATTTGCCAAACTATGTTTATAAAAAGATTTTTTCCTATTTTTGTCTTTTGAAACTGTGTAGAGTATTGCACACTATTTTCGTTACACCCTATAAATGCATATTCTCATTTTTATAATTAAAAAGAATACACACCATTGATATATTGACCCAGGCTTGTGCTAATTGAGTCAAAGTGGCATCATCATCCTTATCCTGCATCTCCTTTAATTTTTTTTTGGCTAAATCTACTCTATCCATTTTAAGAAGTATGTCGATGATAAAACTTAATGCTTCCAAACTCTCAGAGTTATGTAAAACTCTGTAGGCAGCTTCAAAGTTGTTTTCATGTTCATATATTGTGGCAGCCACTAGCACCAAAGTGTCATTAATGTTGCCTGTACCAGAAAGTTTCTCATCCAGTTGAGTCAAAACAACATCTTTTTGTTTTTTGCCATGTAAATATTCAGCTAGTAGTTTAAGCGGTTGAATTTCTTCAGGAGATGCCCCGTGAATCTCGTCTAACACTACCAGAAACTTATTTTGCGCCATGTAACTTCTATATGTGAAAATATCGCGTTGTATAGCTACTTCTGGAGTAGAAGGCTAAAATTGTAGGTTACAAGTAATAATAAGTTTATTTAGGTGTGGCAAATTGTACCTTTTTTATTTTTTGAGCCTCGTTTATGCATTGCTGGTAATTTCCGATGTAAAAATGATTCTTTACATCGAAAAGTTCGTCCACATCTTGCTGCTGACGTGACATGTTGAATAAAAAACAAATATTTGACAGATGAGGCACAGAAGCATAGAAGTTCTTCTTCTTCTTCTTCTTCTTAATTCTGAACACAATTCTGTGTTCAGAGGAATGACCTTTAGCTTAATTTAAAAGCTATTTGGCCAGCACATTATATTATTAAATTTTCTTTATTATGATCAAGGGTCTTATTTAAAAGAATCTGAGATTAACTCATCCCTTGAATCATTTATATATTGTTTATATATATGTATATTATTTATAAAATTTTATAGAAGTTCTGTGACAGAACACAATAAATAAGGTTATGTTAGGCAGAACATATTGTAGAAAACTGTAAATCCACTATAGTAAACCAAATTTACAGTTTTCTATATTGTTTCATAGAATGGAACAGAATAGTCACATATATTTCTTCTTTTTCTTGGATCTGAAAAACGTCTACGTTTCTTCAGGGGGGATGAAACAGAGAAGTTTTTCAGATCAAAGAATATAGAAGAAAACTCTATTCTTTTTGAAAAAATAAAGAAAACTGTAAATTTGGTTTACTATGGTAGATTTACAGTTTTCTACAAGATTTTCTTATCTATATTTAAATTTGAAGTTTAAAAAACGTTAAAAATAACCTTAAAACATATTTTTTAAGTTTAAAGTAAGTTTTTAAAGAATAATTTAAGGGTAAATAATAGCATTTTTATTTTTAGGTCTTAAAACATGAATTTTAACATAATTTCCCACAAAGGAAATAGGCTCCATGAGACATTATACGACAACATACGTCTTTTAACATTAATTCATCCGCCAAGAAAAGAGTTTTTGGAAGTTTTTATAAAGGATATGTTTGCAAAGAATAATAAAGCGGCATTTTTTGAAGTTGCATACTATTTGTTAAACATTTTAAGCCCAGAATTAACATCACAAAACCTACCATCGTGGCCTCCATATGACATAAAAACAGAAAACAAATTTCGAATGGAACTGTTAACATATATTAACAATTTAAATTCAATATACGATAATTCTGATATTCCTCACATAATGGCTTCACAATTAATTTCACCTGGAGGTATTCGGTTTGTTAAATTTATGCTTAAGCTCTCACAACTTGTGGTTTACAAGGAATTAACAAGTACCAATTGTTATATTTTAAACTCTATTAAAATATGCAAAGAAAAAAAGCATACTCAGATTATAATACATAATATGCAGTGTAAAGTAAAGGAAATTAATAAAAATAGTAATAAACTAAACAGAGAGTTTAATGAACATTTTAAAAAATCTAAAAAAGAGGCTGAAGATATTACAAATCAGCAGAAAATGTTGAACAAACAAATTGCAGAAGCAAAGTTAAAATATGCCACACTTAAACAAGATTTTGAGAAAAAATTTACACCATATCCTTCAATGGAGGATTTACTCATTAAATTTAGTCAGCTTCAAGAAAATTTTAAAGAGATATTTAAAGTGAAAACTAAGTTTGAAGAAGTACTTAGTAACCAAGAAATATTTTTAAGTGATGATAGGATTTTAAAGCATGATAAAAAGAAACTTAAAGTCCCCAATGATATTGTACACATTATAAATAATGGTGATCAACTTGACCTGCAACAATATTTTCACGGTTTATTTGTGTTACTTCAGAAGAAATCCTTTAATTTGTCAATTCCACCTTTATCATATGTAAGTAAATTAAAAGAGCACACTGACATGGAAAATGATCAATTAAAAAAAATCAATGAAGATTGTAGTGAAAAATTAAAAAAATTAACAGTGTCATTGGAAAGGGTTCAAAAACTTTTCTATGTAGACACAATAATTATTAATAAATCAAGTTTAGCAGTGCCTTTGTATGAAAGTTTTATAAGCAAGTGATGTTAACAATTTTTTTAAATGTTTTTACCTCATACTTATAGGTATATTTATAAAATTAATGCTGGATGTTCCTGTATTTTTTAAACTTTAATAGGTACCTATTTATGTATAAAGCTAATATTGTATAATATCCTTGTGAATGTAAATTTATAATATACCTAAGCAAGAAATTGTCAAAAATTTTATATTTAACTTTCTATAGGGGGTATATCCATGTAAAATCCCCAATATCCCCATCTCAGTTCAATTAAGTCAGTTGGTACCTACTGAGGTACCTATACATGTATACATGTATGTATGCATATTTACAGGGTGTCCCAGAACTCGCGCCACATAGAAAACCGGAACGTGCCGAAAGTAACGTGAAACACATATTTGAAAATTAAAATTGTCTAACGCAAAGGATAAGCGAGATAAGAATAAAAAACGATAGCCAATCCCAATAGATGGCCATAGGGAATTCTTTAAATTGCTAGAATACTTAGGTTGCATTGTTGATAGATGGCCATAGGGAATTCTTTAAATTGCTAGAATACTTAGGTTGCATTGTTGATAATAAAAAATATGTAAAATATTTGGTCCACTGGAATCCAATTCATTGTGACACTGCTGTCAAACTCCTATCATTAATATTATTTTAGGTTATAAATTAAGTTATTATAAATAATGTTTTCCTTAGATGATCATACTGAAATGATAATTATTTATTTATTTAGTGTGGGCGCAACGCCAGGGAGACAACGCGAGTTTTTTCCCAGCTCTTTCCTAATCGTTATTTTTAAACATTGGCGTTCTGAAGTATAAAGTCGTTTTTTCGCGTAAATACTATGTAATACTACGGTTAAATAAGTCATGACGTCACAGTTAATTCATATAACCATGCCCAGAGAGCCATGCTTTGGGAAAGAAATTAGTCAACTTTTTCCCAACTAAGTTTGGACTACGATATTTTACATTTATTGGGGTTTATTTGGACATATTAATTGTATTTTCATAAAGTTTGACCAAAAATTGACATGTTTTATGCCAAATTATTTTCCAATGCGATAGCACAACAACTACACAAATATACAGTCCTAGATAGAGTTATTATTGGCCAACGTCGTTTAAATTACAATTGTAATGAAGTTTGGTCGAAAATTGGCAAAGCGTTTGTAATTCAGATTGATCGAAACTTGGCAAATAATTGATCAGCATGGAAAAAGAATCGCAATGGCGAGTTATATGTCGTTAATATTTCAAGACCTTCTCTACAAAAAGGCGTCAAAAAGTGCTTGTGTGATAGTTATTACAAAAAAATATAATCATCTGTGCACTAACTAAACGTGTTAAGTTTTAAACGGCTTTAAATTTTGAGTAAGTAATTAAGGTTAGGTATGTTTTCAAAGTTTTTAATAAAACATTCAATTATTATACAATTTCTTACTTCTCGAAGATTTTATACCCTTATTAATTTTGAAGTAGGTAATATAAATTTACATTGGTAGTTCTATATTATGTACTTATTTTTTGTTAATTGTTACAGATTTTCATCTTGAAGTTGCAGTGAAGAAAAATAACTGCCTTTTTCTAGGTAAATAGTGTTTATGGGTACTAGGCTTTTACTACAAGCAGGACAATTTAAAAATAAATTTTCTACCTATATGTCACGAAGGAAAAAGAGGATTTATTGGGTTTTAAGATCTATCGTGCTAGAAGTGAGCAAGGTAATTGCAATTTTTTTATTGAATTTAAAAATTTATTTCTTTTTTATTTTTAAAGTTCTTCATAACATAAAGTTACCAATCACAAACTATTTTTCTTAATGTTTAATAAAGCATAATTCTTGATAGCCTGATCGTAATTCTATTTGTATCATAATATTATAACAAGTAAGTATAAAGGTGGATTTAGCCAGCATTTAAAAAATTGTGTAACACAATTTGTGTTGACCCGTCAAACAAGAAAAACTCAACCAAGAATACATCTGCACTTAAAGAAATCTATAGATAGGTATACAGGGTGTCCTGAAATTAGGGGGCCAAACTTAAACAGTGCATTCTTCATAGAAAAATAACACTTTTTTGTAAACATGTATCAAAAAATGGTTTTCACTTCCAAAATACGTTTTAAGACTTGTGTTTTTATATTGTTATGTTATAGGTTAGCTACTTTAAATTTGTCGCTGACGATGACGTCGTAGGCAGCGTGAATTTAATTGTCAAAGAAGCCTTCTCAGATGAAGTTTCTTCCAAAATAACGCGCACTGGACGTGCTGGTGTTGGAGTGTCCAAAACAAAAATCGTACAAGCCATTCACCGTATGTTTTATATTTTAATATTATTTCCTAGACAATTTTGTTACTTAAAGTATTTTTTAGAGAGTTTACATGAACATGATAAATTTCCTCCTCCAGGGGCTTTAGAATTCCAGAGGTCCTTTGACGTGGCCTTAAACAACGCGAAGCAACGGGTCCGAAATAAAAAAAGCCTTATTGCAAAAAAACAATTAAATCACTGCTTGGGATTCAACATAAAAAAACAATATTTTTTTCCAATTTTGATTATTTTAAATATTTTTTATTTATACATTTGTTTTTTTTTAATATTATTTTTGACCACTGTTCCAGTATTGAAACATACTGTTTTATTTTTTTATTATTAAAAAATATAAATACAAAATTTTTTATTTACCCAATTTTCAAATATAATAATAATATTTGTTAATACTTTGGATATGTCCAAATATTTACCAATATTTGGTCAATTTTTCAAAAGCCTAATTGCCCAAATAAACATCAAAAATTTGTCATCGTTTTTCCATGCCCAAACATTCCCAAAATTAAACCAACGGTAACCTACCTAATTTATCCAAACTGCTTTGGCATATTATTGGGCACAATTTGGTCATTTATTGTTGGCCATCGCGATTGCACAAATACCATAGGAATATACAGTCCTACATAGTACATTTATTGGCAAAACTTTTCCAAAGGTAATGGGCAATTCTTGGCCATGTTTTAACCTGATATGGCTCTCTGGGTGGTTAGGTTTCTAACATTTGACATTTGTTTACTTGTTCATAACCTAAAATTTTTGAAATGTGTTTTTACCTATTTATATTTAATTTCTATGCTTTTACCGGTGTAAATAAATTTCTTTGCCTCTTTTTATACCTAGTATATTCTTTTTCTATAGGT